TGAGCAGCGCTGAAGTGCTCAAAGACAAGCATATACATGGCGGCATGAAAATAAAACTTCTAAAGAAGCAGAACATCATCGGATTGCTTAACGACAAGCATATGCCCAGCGTCGTGAAATTGAAACTACTGAAGAAGCTAAACACTATAGAAGTGCTCAAAGACAAGCCCATGCCTGCCATCGTGAAGACAAAACTAATAAACAAACTGATTTATATATAAAAAAATGAAATGAAGCTAATCACCTTACCTCTAACTCAGCACGAATTGAGAACTATGACTTAACTATTGTAATTTCACATACCATCAGCTACATAAATATTGAATACCCTGAATGCAAAGCTTTGTACTGGTTAGATAAGAAAGTAGCTAGATCTAAACATTTGCCAATTTTAGCACCTGCTGCGCAAAAGAAAAGGTCCAACTGCCTGCTATTTTATCACTACCACCACTGTTGTGTATGCTTTTAACTGAAGAGAGCTCCCAAGTATACGAGTTTCGAAAAAAGATTTGTATATACAACTCTGTACTTGTATTCACTTCATTGGGTGTCAAAATCGATGAGCGTGTTACTAGAACTTAAGGTGTATATAGCTTTCGAATTCAAGATGAACTTTATCATCACATTGGTTCTCTTATGTCTAAAGTTCGAAATATATTATTTTGTTCACAAATTTATATATATAATACAAATGAGCAGTTTTAGCAAAGACAACAATTAATGCCAAATCTTGATCCTACAATGCTTGCACAGCTTCAAACTATGCTACATGAAGTTAATCCTTATTCTTAAATCTTTCAAAATGCTGCTCAAATTTTAAAAGATATGCCGTTACGTGAATTGAAGATTTTTATTACTAAAGCTCAACAAGAACTTCAATATACAACACCTACTCATCAGAAGTTGCTGTCCTTATGGTCAGAGATAGCCAAGAATTTGAACTGTCGAATCGTGATATTGTATTACATAACCAAGGTGGTGGGCTGCAGCATATCTCAGAAATTCATCAAAGCTATAGCCCTTTGCATTATGTTTTGTTGTTTCCACATGGTGACTCAGGATAGCATCCAGATATCTATCTAAAAGACAAACAAGAAATATCTTCACCATTTGATAATTTCGATAGGATACTAGGCGGCAATGCTTTATCTGATAACAATGTTATAATCGATGATAATGCTACATCTGATGTTATTACTAGAAGTCATGTGCCAATGATACAATTTTATGCTTACTAATTATATTTGTGAATATATGAACTGAATGAATTATTTGTATTACACAAAGCCGGTAGCCTGTTCCAACAATATATAGTAGACGTATATACATATATTAAGCAAAGCAGATTGAATTTTCTGAGGTGCAATCAAAAAACAATTCATGCTGAATTGTATAGTGAACTTCAGGATGCACTTTCAGTAAGTGACAAACTGCTACCTGGACTCTGTATTGGCCGTCATATTATACTTCCATCAAGCTTCAATGGTGGGCTATGATATATAAAGCAATTGTATCAAAACGCTATGACTATTGTTGATCAGTTAGGAAAGCCGGACCTTTTTATAACTATGATATGTAATTCAAATTGGCTCGAGATCCAAGCAGAACTATTATCAAGACAAACTGCTTAAGATCATTCAGACCTTTGTGCATGAGTTTTCTGATTAAAATTGATCGCTTTACTTAATGAAATTCTAAAAAAAAGCATTTTTGAACATGTACTTGGCTATATTTATGTCATTAAAGCTCAGATGCATGGCCTGCTGCATGCTCATATGTTGTTCATACTGGCTCCAGAAGACAAACCTCGTACTACCAAAGATTATAATCACATTGTGTTAGCAGAAATTCCAGATCCTTTAATTTAGCTCTCAGAGTATGAAACTGTTATCAAATATATGATGCATGGACTATGTGAGCTAAGCAAAATGAATGCCCCATATATGAGAAACAGAAAGTACTCAAAAATGTATCCTAAAAGTTTTCAACCAGTTACTTGCCAAAACACTGATGAATATTCAATTTACAGGCGCTATTCTGATGGATATAAAGTGCAAGTAAAAGAAAATTTACTCGATAACCACTGGGTAGTGCCGCATAATCTGTATCTTTGCAAAAGATATCAATGCCATATCAATGTAAAATTTGCTCTTCGATTTGTGGAGTAAAATACCTGTTCAAATACGTATATAAGGGTCATGATAGGGCAACTGTAACAATTAGCAGTAATAATAGCTGTGAAACATCAAATACAGAAATACCTAATAAAATCAAACAGCATATTGCATGCTATATTTCATTTTCTGAGGCATTTTGGAGAATAATGCACTTTAAAATACATAATGAATCACCTGATATTATGTGTTTAGTTGTGCACCTTCCTGGGCAACACTTGGTCATCTTTTTTGACAATGATTCTGTTGATGCTATAATTTAACGAGCTCAAAATGAAAAATCAACATTAATAGCATGATTTGAAGCTAATAGAAATTCAGCAACTGCTACATTAGCAAGTAGATATACCTACGCTCATTTTCATCAAGCTTTTGTTTTCAACAAAAAAAACAAAGAAATGGCAACCATGTGTTCGAGACAATTTAATTAGTCATATGTATTTCATTCATCCTAAAGCAGGAAAGTGTTTTTACTTGCAACTATTGTTGAGTGTTGTACATAAAGCACAATTTTTCGATCATCTACAAACTGTCAATAGGTATATACATGCAATATTCAAAAATGCCTGCCGAGCGTTAGGCCTATTACAAGATGACCTTGAATAGGATCGTTGTCTAGAAGAAGCTGCTAAAATACATTCAGGAAATCAGCTTCATCAATTATTCACAACAATTTTAATCAACTATCAACCTAATGAGCCCGAATAACTATAGATGAAACATGTTAATTCACTTACTGATGAT